GTCCTGATACATAAAACCATAGAACTCAAAGAGGGTGTACTTTCTTTTTCACATGACTATATGTTATGCTGATTGTTGTTTATTGCTTTTATATATCTATGTTGTGTCTTGCTTGAGTTGGTGAAATGCCTCATTCAGATTGGCCAAAGAGGTAAATATGTTTATGCCCAAAAAATGCACAGGAACAAGCTGATGAAAATTGCTGGGGAGGAAAGAGAAACTTATCAAAATGATTAGGAAAACTCACATCTCTTAGGAGTAAATTTGTGGATGAAACCAAGGACTTTGTGGAGATCACTATAGCTAGTTCAGTTACAATATTGATACAATAAGAGTAAACAGTGAAGCAAGAAAACAAAACACAGTCAGGTATTTGATAATCCCTTAGGTTTTTTCTACAACCTTCTCACTGACATCCAGGAAAATTACAAGAATGAAGATAAATTTTTAAAAACTATTAGATTTTTGTAGTATTTAAATTGCCAAATACTTTTACCTATAGGCTAACGACAGAAATCATTACAGATTTTTTCAGTTTATGATATGAAAATTTCAATCTTAAGTGTGATTTAAACATCCATAAAAGACTAGATATTGTGTTACCTTTAAGTGACATTTTTTTCAAATAGTATTGGCCTCTTCTAATTGAGAACAGATGTTTAGACATAGGCTTCCCATTAAATAGGAGGAAACTGCAAAGAGGACTGATAACTCCAATGATTTCTGTTCCTTTGTTTCCTGCCACTAGGCTACACCTGCAAAGACAGTAGCCCTATTTTTGTTCTAGAGCGACTAGTTTTAGATACCAGTCCATAACTATTTATAACATCAGAATAAACACTCCCTTCATGAAACATACCAGCAAACTTTTATTGTGCCATCAAACATTGTGTCCTGATTATTGCTTTTTCCTCTGAGCAGCTTAATAGGAAACTTAATGTGTTATTAAACCAAGTATTACTCCTTATCATAGTAACTTGTATTTATAAACAAATCTTAAGTATAATAATTCTAACAAAAACACTGTTACTTCAGCAATTGTCTTTCTGTGTTTTCCCCCCTTACTGAAATTTTCAATTCATGCATAAACTTGAATTTTGCACCTAATTGCTCAGGAACCAATCTATTCTTTTACAAAATAGTTGAACTTTTTAAAACAAATTTGCTTGCTTTTTACATCTTATCTCTCTTAGTTCTAGCAAAAACAAAGCTGTCTGTACATATGATTAGGTTTACAAGAACAAGGCCATCCAAGAAAGAATACCCTTATTCTGAAAGAGGAGAGCACCTATATAGAAACATAGAAGATACAACAGTTCTATGATTAAGATAAAAAGGAACTGGTGTAAAACAAACCAGTATTAAAACAAAACAAGATTGCAACAAAGAATTCTTGAAAGCAGATATTGCAGAAGATAAACAGCCAGCCTCCCTACTTCTCCATTTTGTTTGTTACATAATTATAGAAACTAACCAGTTATGGGGTTTTTTTTTTTTTTTTTTTTTGTTGGATAGATCACTGACTGGCTTCCCACTAAATAGGAAAAAAATCCTCTTTTCTACTATACCATCTTGATCCCGTTTCTTTGGTTGTTTATCAACTGTCTAGCTGGTGTGGTCTTATACTCTGTTCTATGTCAGCATGAAGCATATTTATAGATTTGAACACAGCATATGTGTAAAATATATTTTTGATCAGCTGCATTGTTGATAAATAAGACCACCGTATTGGGGCTGAGGAAATCAGTAGATGGCAGGAAGGAGAAATGAAAAGCTTTAACCCTTTGCAGCTGTCTGAAAGTTGTCCAAACTTCATAGCCCAAGGAGAGTAGCCCGATTTAAGGTAGACAGTGTTCTTATCTTCTTAAATAGGCGTCATGTCACCAATTGTCTGACTATTAATATAGCAGAAATGATTTGTATTTATCCTTTTTGGGGGGGGGCAATAGAAATATATTTGAAAGGAATTCTTCCCAGGCACCTTGTCAGCAGGGCCACAAGAAAGTGGTACTGCTGAAATGATTTCACCTTTTTTTTTTTTTTTACCTTTTAATAGACAGAAGGGTGGCAGAGGTTGTAAAATCCTTATTTTACTCCCATACCAGGGTTTGGGAAAGGACACCAAGTGAAGCACTCCCAGAAGATAGGTGGTAGCAGCAGGAACTACAAGTAACTGCTTCGAGGCAGGAGATAGCGCCTAGTTGTGAAAACCCACAGGGCTTCTGGGAGAGAAGATTTCAGACCTTCAGCCTTCCATCCTAGAGGTTCAGCTATTTTGTTACATGATCTATAAGCTATATAGGTGATATATCTTAAATTTATATTAAAATTATCATGGAATAATCAACCCAAACACAGGATCCAGTATTCAATAAGTTATTTAAAGGCTTGGGGATTGTTTGCTAACAGTATACTAAATTACCTAAAACTATCTACACGCTTCCTCCTGAGAAGCAAAACTTTTTATAATTAAATGATTTTATATAGGTAATTATATATGAAAAAGCAAATATTAAATATTCCCTTTTGTATGTCTGTCGCTTGTTATTTTGCCAGTCCAAGGTCTATTGTTTGGAGCCTAGTCATTCAAATCCATTAAGTTGGTTACTTTTCTCTTGAGAACTAGCTTTCTGCCTTGGGTGCTGGGGTCCCAAAATGGAAATACACAGTACATATTACTTTGGGGGAAAAAACACAACATGAGAGCAAGATAAAAATACTTTGGGGTTTTATGATATCATTATTTTGTTTGTTTCTGTGATAATGATGTGTTGTATGAGCCATCCTCTGCTTCACTCCTGAAAAATCAAAATATTAGATTCTTTTAAAATGTACAATTCCATTTTTCTTTCTTATTTGCCTTTGTTGCTGTTATGGTTGTTGCTATTTCCAACAGTTCTGAAATCAAGATTCTGGAGGCATGTTGAAAATGTAAGGGGTTGCATTCATCTTTTTCCATTTAAAGTTGCTGAAAGGGGAGCTAGTTGTGTGTCTCCAATATCACGGGAACTTTCATCAGGAACAGTTCTGGCAGCACTTGATTCTGAAATGCTTCCTTGACGCCTCAGTATTTTCATTATCGTTCTTTTGTATCCTCTGCAAGCAAAGAAATAGATGAAAGGATCCATGCAGCAATTTAAATTCATCAGGAACACAGTATAGTGGAGAGTCTTCTGAAAGGTCTTTTGTTGACTGCATGCAATAGTATTTCCTTGTATAAGCTTCTTAATCATGTATACAATAATGGCAAGATGATATGGAGTAAGACAGATTACAAACACAACAATGATAAAGATAATTATATTAATTGCCTTTTTGTTTGTTCCTGATTTTTCTGCCAGTGGGTTTTCTTTTGCAGTTTGACAGAGTTTGTAACTGATTTTTGAATAACAGATTATTATAATCCCAAGGGGAATTACATATCCAAGTAAACAGGCACCAAGAAGTATCTGGGGGAGTTGTTTAATTTGTTCAAAGTTTGGATATTCCATGCACGTAACCTTTGTTCCTTCTTTGTGTGACATGGGTAGTGTAAGCAGTGGGAGAGTTTGAGCAAGTACAAGAAACCACACAAAGCAAAAAATGTATGTGGCACTTTTAACTGTTCGGATCCTGGTGTATAAAGGATGAACCACAGCTACAAATCTATCAATACTCAAGCATGTCATAAAATTCACAGCGGCATAAATGTTGATATAAAAGAGAAGGGCTGTGATTTTACAGAGTTCCTCTCCGAATGGCCAGTCAAAACCCAGTGCGTAGTATGCTATTCTTGTAGGTAAAGCTGTTGTAAAAAGAATATCTGACACAACAAGATTTGTTGAGTAAATAGTAGTAGAATTGATCTTTTTCCTATTTTTAACAATCACAGCAAGAGCAAGTCCATTTCCAAGTACTCCAATTATGAAAATAACACTGTAGAAAATAGGCAATAAGATACGTGCTGAATTTTGATGTTCATATAGATCACAGGTTTGGTTTTGAGTTTGATTTGTTATAGAAGATGGAGGGGCTACGACTCTTGCCATGGTTAATATGAGACTGGAAGTTCAGAAGGCCTAGAAAAAGTGGCAGAAGAAACAAAAAAATGTTAGGATGTATTCAGTCTTTTCTTTTCTTTTCTTTTTTTTACAATAGCTAGTTAAGCATTTTAGAAAACCAGAAATTAGATAGTATGAAATTATCCCTTGATTTCAAAACAAAACAAAACTGCAGCTTGTTATTATGTGAATTTTTATTTAACATTTCTAGGTAAACAAAATTTTAAAATAAGAGGATAGTAATAGTTTAGAAGGTGAAAACAACTGGCTGAAACCAAGCCTTTAGTTTCTTAAGCATTAATAAATGTGGTCTATTAGGTTCAGCTTAGTAAGTAAAGTTATAGTTATGAATGGAAAACTATGCTTTCCAGAAGTGAGACTGTACCACAGAATGCTTCCCCCTTCCCCCCCCCCC